TTCATGTGGAAAGGTGTCTGTCCTGGCATCATTTGTTAGCAATACTCTTTGCGAGATATCAGAGACCACTGTAGTAGGCTGGTGTGGGCCGGGACCTTGAACTGTGACAGACTGAGAGTGGTGTGCTGGGGAGGCTTGAGAAGGCGGAGGTAGAAGGACTTGGTGACAGTGGTCATGCCGTGGATAAGGGGAATGGACATCAGAGGGAAGTCCTGGCTGTGTCTGTCCCTTCCCCTTGAGACTAGCAGATAGGCAACGCCATCTGTGTGACCAGGTGGCTGCCCCAGACCGATCTGCTGGAGCCTGCTCATGTGTCCTTGTGACTTAAAGATCCAAGCCTGTTGCCGCAGTATTAACCCAACCACAGGCAATGGACCTTGCTGGGAGGGTTGGGTTATGTTGTGTGGTTCCCAAAGAGGCAGCAGTCACAGCAACTCTGTTCAAAAGAAAACAGAAAAGTTTCCATCGAGGAGGAATGCAGCCAGCAAGCTCCAGAAGTGTCAAGCTTGTCCCTGATGCCAGCTAGCAGTCCACATGCAAAATGAGCTCTCCCAGTGGCGCAATGGGACTCGTAAGCCTTGGGAGGAGTCTAGGCTCTGGAATCATTTTGCTTGTAGGACACGATGCCCCCAAATCCCTCACTACCATTCTGGGTTCATCCTCTCATTCCACGAGGACTGCATAGCTTTCTGCTTTTAGAGTTGGCTGTTTGTTCCTAGAAGCAATGCATGACTGATCTTAATGTTGGCTAAAGTACTCTGAAGAGCCTCCTGGACAGTGGACCCTGAGGCCGTTTAGTCCCACTGGGGTTGGTTTGGTGCAGAGACGGTGTCTAGGTAATGGTGAGGTGCATTGCCCACAGAATGGCTGCCATGGCCACGGTCTCTGATGAGAACAAGGGGAAGTGTGTTCCAATGACTGAGTTAGCCCTTTGACCGCGGTGACAAAGCCCCAGCATGGAGAGAAGCCCCACCTTGGGAGCAGGAACAGAAGTGTTCTGTTCTGTGGACTGCAGAGGGAAGCCTCTGCGGAATTGCTCTCGGGGCTCCTACAGAGACTCCTTTGATGAGAAGCTGCCCCACCCAGGACAGGCTGGTCCAAGAGTGGCCAGGCTCCCCTGGGAGCCGAGGGAAGCAGTTTGAGTCTTGTGAATCATTTTCTGATGTGTGATCATTTCAGAAAGGGAAGCAACCCGGGAAGCTTGAAACATAATCATCAGTTGCATTCACAAATACAGAGCCGAAAGTGGTGGTGAGGGGTGGTTAACAGACCCCTCAGCTTCCAGGAAAGGAAACTGAGTCTGAGCAATGACACGAGAAGTCTAGAGTCATGCTGGTCTCATGACCCCATCATCCATCTTGCCACACGTTTAGGAGGCCACCGAGTTTGACATCTTAAAAAACACTTGTTTTGAGATTTATTTATTTTTATTATGTATGTATATTTATTGTGTATATATATAGGCAAAACACCCACATACATAATATATATAGGCAAAACACCCACATACATAATATATTATATAATATATATTTTATATTATAACATAATATATATTAATTATATTATATATAATATAAATATATATATATATAGATATATAGTTAAACTGGGTGTCCTGGCTTGGGCCTATAATCCCAGTACTCAGGAGGATCAGAAGTTCAAGGTATCCTTAGCTATATATTGAGTTAAAGCTCAGCCTGGGCTACATGAGACCCGATCTCAAAAGGGGGAAAAGGCCTGGGACACTAGCTACCAGGATAGGGCTTGCTGCATGTGCAGGGGGACCTCAGTTCAAACCCCTAGAGCCTACATTAAAAAAAAAGAAAAGGCGGGGTTTGGTGGTGTGAACCTGTAATCCAGCACTGAGGAGTGAGGACAGTGGATCGCCCGGGCTTGCTCACCAGCCAGCCTACCTAATGAATTTCAGATCATTGAGAAACGATGTCCCCCAAAACAAGAGGAACAGCTCTTGAGGAATGACACCTGAGTTGTCTCCACACACACATGCCCACATAGGTACACACACATCTAAAACAAGAAGAAAGGAAAAAGCAGACATGGCGTCATCATTCAAATCATTTTTGCCAATTGATGAGAACAGTGTCTTGCATGTCTTGCCTATTGTGTATTCTCAGAACCAGGAGGAGAGCCCAGTACGTGATAAGTTCCTAGCAAATGTTTGTGGAACGAATGTTGCTATTTTACTGCATCTATTTCTAGCCCCTTTCAGTGTATTTTTTACATGATTATAGTCAGATTATTATAAAATACTTTCAAAGTTATAGATAACACAAGTATAGTTTCACTAAAAAAAACCTCTTTTAAACATTAATTTAAAAGAAGTTTAGCATGTATGTCTTATTTCCTTTCATGCTATTAGACATCTAGAAGTGGGGATATACAGTCTGAATACATGTCTCAATGGTACTTCAGGAATAAGGGTCGCCCTTGGACAGGTAGACCAGTTAGTTGCTGTGCTTAGCAGGCCTGCAGATGTCCCAAGGCCACAGTACATTGCTCCTTTCGTTGTCTCACTGGGGCACAAGAAATGAAGCTGGTACTGGATGGAAGTCTTCACATTAGAGTCGGGACATGACCTCTCCCACTACTGTAATTAAGAAGCATCTTTTGGATATGAGGTTGGAGCTTTCCGTGTGCTCAAAGAAGTAGTTCATATACTTAATTTTGAGAATCAGAGTCTCAAGAATTCGACTAAATCAATCGCCTACTGTATATAATCACACCTTTTGTAAGCTTTTAAAAAATTTCCTGGGTTAGTGCAGTTAAATAATGTGCAGTTAAAAGTTACATTGTTGGGGCTAACACAGTGCCATCTGTTGCTAAAAAGAAAAATGACGGCCTAGGAATCTGCCCAGACTAAATATCCGATTTTCACATTGGCTTACACAGGAAATAAAAGGGAATTGATTTGTGGTTTCTTGCATGAGTTCTTGTGTCAAATTGGATATAGCTTTATTTTTGAGTGGACTTTTGCATTCAATTGCTTACAAAGCTCACCTGGTTAACTCCGCCACTGGGCAGAAAATTCTTTCAAAACCCCAAAAGGAATATATACCTCGGGAGAAACAGTTGTCTGAACAGCTGCCACGGAAGGGGACTAACTGTGCTCTGGAACCAGTGAGAAGTTTCTGTATGTCACAGCTCAGGTAGAACTGGAGTCAGGAAGGCTCACTAGGCTGCCATCATCAATGACAGAAGAGGGAAGCCCTGGAACAAGTGGGGAGATGCCAGCAGTGTTGTCCATGCCAGCCTGCTAGCGGTGGTGAGGCCGGTGGTACCCGGTGAGAGGCAGAGCAGAGGGGGAGTCTCTCTGTGCTCTGGCTACACACCAGGTGCTGGATATGTACCTACTCAACATATAGAATTAATATGGCCCCTGGCATACCTGCTTTCTCAAAAAGGTAGTCATGTGAGATAGACTAGGGGTCTCCAGGACACTGCAACACTAAGTGTCTGCCCCTAAACATCTAAGCTACCTATAGCTGTGCTTCCCAGTCCAATGGCAAGTATCCAAAGGTCAATTACCTAGTTACTCAAATCTGACAGCCATAGACACGCTTCTGTTTAGAGAGTTTCCCATCTACCGCTTCCTTGAAACACACCCCCACACCCCCACACCCCCCCACACACACAGTTGCAGTAGTCAGTGATGAAACCAATGTAACTCATAAATTGTCACAGTCTTTATAAAGTTACAAAATAGAACAGACCCAGGAGTGAAGTAAAGTGATCCCTTCACCCTCGCTGCCGACTTCTGTGCCCCTCACCATTCACTTCTAATATCTCAGAGAAAGGAGAGGAAAGAGAGTAGTTCTTCCAGATGCTTCGCTCACACGGGGAAGAGTTGTATCGTTTCTTTCACCCTGATAGAGAAATGTTTAACATACTCAGTACAATGGAAACTCTGTGTGTGTGTGTGTGTGTGTGTGTGTGTGTGTGTGTGTGTGTGTGTGTGTGTGTGTGTGTGTACCTGTGTGTGTGTGCAGAGATCAGAAGTCAACATTGCCTATCTTCCTCATTGACTCTACACCTTATATTTTGGAGACAAGATCTCAAGCTGAACCTGGAGCTCACTGATCCAGCAAGACTTGGCCAGTGAGTGCCAGGGGTCCACCTGCCTCTACTTCCCCAGCACTGAGATTACAGGCATAAGCTGCTACACCTGGCTTTTTATATGGTGCTGGGAATCCAGACTGAAGTCCTCATCCTTGTGCGGCAAGCACTTTCCAGATTGAGCCCTCTTCCTAGCCCTAGAAACTATTCACATAAAGTCATTGCTATAAAGAAAAGTAAAACCATTCAATATGGTAAGGCAGAAATAAAAGAGAATCGTAAACAATTTGACTTGGTATTGACTTTTAAGGTTCTAAATTAAATGCTGGCAAATAGAAATCAGCAATATAATAAAATCACAATGCCCAGAAGAATACATGAATGGTTCAATACTTGAAAACGCTATACTAGTTCAACAGCAATTTTGTGAGTCCTGTCTCAGGATGGCAGAGCACCGCCATCATCCCCAGTACAGGTCTTCAAGGCTCTCTGAGAGTTCAGGCCACTCTCTAATCCTTTAGACGGAACACTTGCCGTTCTCTGTAGTGACCTTTCACCTGTGTTTCCTGTTAGCCATTCTTTACTAAAATGCCAGTTATCCGACGTCAGGTCCTTGTCTGTCCTGACTAGGGTTGGATTCCCTGTGTGTAATCGTGACCCTGACATATGCACTCAACATTTGCTGCATTTGATAGCTATGGCATTTCTATTTGTTAAGTACCTTTTAATTAAATAGATGTTTCTCTGTGAATAACTGGTTACCAATGGTCCTAAATTGCAGTCCCCAAAGCGTCTATTTCAGTAGAGATACAGGCAAATCAAGAGATATTCCTCTGGTCCATGCCAACCAAGGCCCCATTATGCTAAGCCTACATTTCGACTCTTAATCTGCTGAATGAAAAAGATGGAAACTGTTTTCACAGGAACCTTCTGCAACTTCCTCTAAAGAAAAGACTGGAAAACCAGAAACACAAAGTAGCAGCTTCCTGTTCCCTAAAGCCTGCCACCAAAGGACACGCAGCAACTCGACCAGTGAGTACCTTACCAAAATATCTTCGGGAACAGGGTTGTATTAGTTCCTTTTCTGTTGCTGTGACAAAACACCATGACCAAGGCTACTTAAAGAATGCATTTATTCTGGTTTATAGTTCCAGGGGTTAGAGTCCACGATGGCAGGAGGAGACAGCAAATAGTCATGGTGTCAGGAACAGCCTGCTGAGAGCTCACACATCTTGAACCACAAGCACAGAGCAGGGAGAGACTGGAAATGGGAGTCTTTAAACTCTCAAGCCTGCCTCTCATACTCCCTCCAACAAGACCACACCTCCTAAGCCTCCTCAAGCAGCGTTACCACCCAGGGATGTTCAAATACACGAGCCTCCAGGGGATGTTATCATCGAAACCACCACAAGGGCTTAACTGCTCCTGAATATCAGGACTGTCACTGCTGTGGGGGAGTCTAGGGGGCTGGGTCCTTCCTGGGTTATCAAGGGTAAACCAAGGTGACAGCTGTCTGTCTGTTAGAGAGCATGCTTCATGGGTGTTCTTCCTAGACAATTAGAGAGGTTCTGCACTGGCCTGGCCACGTCTCCGTGGACAGCATCTCTGGCTGGGTGTCAGGCTGGGGAGATCCGGTCTGGGGAGAAGAGAAAAACGTTGGCTCCTACCCTGAGTGCTGGCATACTTCCTGTGCTGAGCAAGCCTCCCCGCAACCCCAACCTCTTTTGCCTCGCCTGTGATAGAGCAGGGCTGAGGTCGGAAGAGCTCAGGGCTCTTGATTACTGTAAATGGAAGGATGAAGAAAGACATGAAGAAATTAAGACCTCGATACAGATACTGACACTAAGCTGTGCTACCATTTTCAGTTAATTCCACACTCTTCCCACATGACTACAGAAAACTTGCATGCACAAGTCATTGGAAATTCCATTCTAAACACCATTTTTTTTAAAGTGGAAATACAAAATTTCATTGTATGAACATTTAGTCTAGTTAACCAACTCCCTCTCATTAGAATTTGCATTATGTTCAGTCTTTCAATGGCATCATCCACATTGCTTACTTTATACATGAAATTGTTTTCTGCATCTATGTTGATTCCTGAAGGGAACCAGTTAGCCTCCATGTCTGTGAATGGGAAATACTTGAAAGAAATAACATTTTTACAGAAAATGTGTGGATCCTTTTCTCTTTTCATTGTCTTCTAAACAATCCAGCATAAACAATATGCTCACATGCATCTATTATGTGCTTATAATGCAGTGGGTTTATACAAAACGTGGAAAAGCACCCACATATTCTGGTATCGATGAGGGTTCCTGGAAGCAACCGGTCCCCGTGAATACTGAGTGACAACCACATGGGAGAGAGTGGGTGGTGAATGACTAAGAATGCTTGAAAACTGAGTGCGCTGGTTTCTGTGGGCCCATCATGTGGGCCATACAGGTTGGATGATCAGGAATTCAAAGCCTGCCTGGAGCATATGCATTGAATGTGTGGCCAGGCTGGGCTACAGCAGATCCTGTCTCAAAAACAACCCCACCCCTCCAACCAAAGCAAAATGAAAGACACCACATTTGAGGGAAACTGTGCTTAAACTGGGATCGAGCTTCCTTGGAAGTGATTATCTGTGTGACTTTGGGGAAATTCTTGACTCTCTGAGCCTCATTACTCTGTGGCATTATGAGCCATCCTTAAATGAATGGCTGGTTTGGAGGCTTGTATAACTTGGTTTCTTGTTAATGTAATTGCCTAGGGGTTGAATTTTGGTTTAAATGGTAGGTAGACACAGCTTAAGGACTTTGGTGTACTGCCAAGCTAGCCTGCCCTTCCTTCAGCAGCAGACATGATCACCTACATCACACTGTTTTTTTTTGTTGTTGTTGTTTGTTTGTTTTTTGTTTTTGAATATTTGTTGCACAGGCTTTCTACCTCTTGCCTATTTCTGCTTCTCTGCCTTGCTTCACACCTGGGACCAGTTACACACTTCGTGGGTCTCTGGCTAAAATGAAACAAAGGGAGCCTGTCCAGAATTAGTAAGAATTTCAAAGTGGCAGTAGCCCAGCATTAAACCAAGCTGGGAGTCTTTTGACCACAGGCCCTGCTGACGGCTCAGGCCACATGTCCGCAAAGTCAGCTATGCTGGTGTCCTGGGAGCTGATCCCTCAGACAATGCCATCCACCTCTCAACCTTCTGGATCCAAACTGAGTTCAGTTATTGAGAGAATCAGTGACTGACTGTAGGATGGAGCAATGGGGTGTTATCCTCCCTGGTCTCTTGACTGTCTGTCACCCAAATGGCCTGTCTTCCTTGACCATGGCTCACTGGGTCCCGCTCTTTCTTTCTTGTCCCCTTTAGGCCCTGGGAGGTAATGGCCTCCAGGACCCCAGAACATCTGGCTGTTTTTTTAAGTATGCCTTTGCTTTTTGTAATGCAAACCCTGACTTGCACACTGGCTTCTAAAATGGAAAACAGACCTCTTTAGGCAGGCTGAAAAATTTCTTCATTTATTATTTAGTACATTTTTTTGGGTAACTCTTACTAGTTTTCTATTGGGCTCATCATTGTCTTATTAATTTACAAAACTCTTGGTTAAATTAATAGTTGAACATTGGATTTCTCAAACACACACACACACACACACACACACACACACACTTCCTCTAGTTATTCAGTTTTTCACTTGAAGATGTTTTGATTTTTATGCTATCAAACTTGACCTTTTTTCCTTTTACCATGAAATTTCTCCATGTTGGAAGAATATTAAATATGTGTGCATCTTAGTTTGCTTTCTGTTGCTGTGATGAACACTATGACCAAAAACAATGTGGGGAGGAAGCGTTCATCTGGCTTACTTGACAACCACAATCCATCACTGAGGAAGTCAGGGCAGGAACTCAGGCAGGACCAGAGGCAGGAAACATGGAGGAATGCTGTCCACAGGCCTTTCTTCCATAACCTGGGACCACCTGCCCAGGAGTAGCATTGCCAAACAGTGGGCTGGACCCTCCCATACTAGTCAGTAACCATTGAAATGCCCTACAGACTTACCCACAGTCCAATCTGATGGAGGCAGTTCCCCAACTGATGGAGGCAGTTCCCCAACTGATGTTCCCTCTTCCCAGGTGACTCTGGCTTGTGTCAAGCTGACAAAAACCAACCAGCATTGTGTATTTATATATTCTCCTATTTTATAAATGATTTCTCTCCATATCAGACGTGTTATATTTATATTTTTGGCACTTTATATGAAGAAAGAAGCATTGTGGGTTTTTCCCCCCTGGATGATGAACTGAGGATGAGCATCACTACTGACGATCAGTTCTTGCCCATGCCCTTAAAAACCATTAGTGTGTGTAGGGGGGAGTGGGGAGCATGTGCCACAGAGTATGTGTTCATGTGGAGGTCAGAAGACAGCTTGAGGGGGTCTGCTCTCTCCTTCCACATTGTGGGACCTAGAGCTGGAACTCAGGTGGTCAGGGTCAGCAGCAAGCGCCTTTACCCACTGAGCCATCCTGCCAGCCCCCCCCCCATCCTTTTGTAAATACCTTTCTTGGTTCATTGTGCATCATTTCCATAGTAACTTGCTATTGGTTAGTTTTCTGCCTCTTGACGTACCTTGTTTCAATTTCTAGGATCTGTTCAATTCCATTTCTACTTCAGCTTGTCTTTGCATTTAAATTAACTAGTTAATTTATTGAACTTTAATTAATAAATAATTCAGAATAACACTTCTAAGTCATTCCTTTTATGAGAGACTAAGAACTTATTCATTTTTAGTTCCTTTGCCAATTACCTTTTCCATTTCCAGTTCATTATTCAACTCAGCTTCAAAGTATGAACTCATTACTATTGTTGCATATTCATCTCAACATATAGCGTCTGTCTCTTTCTAAAACTGTGTGGGCCTCTGAGCTGGGTTTCTAACCGCATTTACTATCAACCCAGCCAGTGCTGCAGGGGCGGCAGGTTTTAACTCCCCTTCACTGGAGACGATAACTTTGATACACTTCTCTGTTGGCTGGTGTACATCCACAGGTGATTTTCAGGCAGAGAGAAGGAGGACCCAGACCAGCCAGAGCTTTGGAGAATGAACCAAGTCTTGCACTGGCCTCTGTTTATACAGATCTGAATCCATAGACAAGACAGAGCACCCCAAAGCACAGCGGCTGCCAGGTCAGGCAGGGCAGAGCCCAGCTCAGCATGGCCTCAGCACCTTGCACTGGCTTGCCCAGGGCTCTGTCGTCTATCTGCTGTCACTCATTCCAAATGGCAGCCTATTTATTTGTCCTTATCTCACTTCCTCTCTTTCATCCAGTAGAGGGCATCACAGTGGGCAGAAGCCACAGGACCCAGAGGTCTGGGTTATGCTCTAGACTTATTAATTGCTATGAAGCCCTTGATCTGTTTGCTCACTTATAAGTAAGGAGCAGATCGGGGCTCCCCAAAGCCTATGATAGGATGGTTGCATCACCAGGAGGGTTGTCTTAGTCCCCATCAGTGGGTCAGGAGCCTTGTGTGAGCTGCATTCCTGCTGAACACTCACATAAATGTGGTGCCTGGGCGGGTTAGGAACAGGTGACCTCTGGCTTCCTACCAGTTCTAATCCGAAGTCCTGCATCCTGTCTTCCCCACGCTGCTCCCTCCTGGCCCATCTGGGAGCAATTGGTCCTTGCAAGTTACAGAGGACCAGTGACTCCTTCTGAAGGGACTTCTGGAAGTAACTGCTATTGCAGGTGGTTTTCCCAGCTATTTCCGGAGCACTGAAGAACCTAAATCTCCCCGTTTCCATGGTGCCTCGACCTCTGTCCCTTATCTTTTTTACATCTGACATCCTCCTCGGGGAGTCTCATTCTGAACCTGCCCTCACTAGTCACTTCCTCTCTTTAGTCTATAGACAGGTCTTTCCCATTCTCCGCCCCTGAAGAAAGGAAATCCCAACCTTAATCTGTCTTTCACATCCTGTGAGCCACCACCGATGTCACTTTTTCCTTGGGATGGGAGGTTGGGCTCCACACAAATGTCTCTCCACTTTCTCAAGCTGGGAAAACCTTGTTCCTTGATGGGCCTCTGGAACCCTGCTGCCCATGCACTGGCCACACATGGCTCCTGAGCACATGGCTGCTCTCTGTGGAGAACACAGAAATTTTTAGAGGGCATGCCCAGATGAAGACTAAGTATGAGGAAAAATAGAACATGAATGTCTTGTTAATATTTTTACATATTGTTTACACGTTGAATGGACCCAGATTAGACATAGTGGACAGAATAAAATATATTAATATAATTAAACCAACCACAATCATTTCCTTTTAGTTATTATTATTATTAATTATTCATTATTATTATTTACCTATTTTGCTTTGAGACAGGCTCATACCGTGTAGGCCAGGCTAGCCTGGAACTCTCTTTTTTTTTTCCTTTTGTTTTATTTAGATTTTTGTTTTCTTTGAGACAGGATCTCAGACACCCTAGGTTCTTTTACCAACTTACTATGTGGTAGAGGATGTTCTTGAACTCCTGACCCTACCGTCCCTACCTTTGTGAGGGCTGGGATGACAGGTGTGTACCACTACGCCTGGTCCTCCTCTTAATTTTTCAGTGTGGCTACTGGACAGATTTAAATGGCCTGTGCAGCTAACTTTGTGTCTCAGCTGGGCAGCTCCAGACATCAGGGGGTTAAGTCTGTCAACCCCAAAGGTTTTCAAATTGACTGTGAGAGTCCAGGGGTGGGTGGTGAGTGGTGAGTGGTGAGTGGTGAGTGGTGGGGGTGAGTGGTGGTGGTGGGTGGTGGATGGTGGTGAGTGGTGAGTGGTGGTGGTGAATGGTGGGAGTGAGTGGTGAGTGGTGGTGGTGAGTGGTGGTGGTGAATGGTGGGAGTGAGTGGAGGTGAGTGGTGGTGGTGGTGGGTGGTGGTAGTGGTGAGTGGCGGTGGTGGTGGTGGTGAGTGGTGGGAGTGAGTGGTGGTGAGAGGTGGTGGTGGTGGTGAGTAGTGGTGGTGGGTGGTGAGTGGTGGGAGTGAGTGGTGGTGGGTGGTGGTGGTG